TTCTTTTCTTTTCCATCAGCCAGCGAATTTCTGAGTTTGAATACAAAAGCAATCATTCAGTATACTGTAACATCGTGTTTGTTGAAACAAAGAGATAAATGATTTGTCAGATTATAAAGATTTTTATTCTTTGTCATACGCTTCTAACAGTTTCACTTTTCTTGCTGTCCGAGTTCATTTTATTTTTCAAGTACCTTATATCCTTTCAATTTGACCTGTGAATACCTCTCTGGAACATGAATGATGAATCACATCAATCAGTGTTTGTTAGAGTATAAATAAACAACGAAATTTACAGCCATGAGGAGGATTTAAATAAGTTGCAAAGAGTCACTCAGCTTATTAGTGGAACCTGACATACCAGTTACTTTGAGAAAACCGACCAACAGAAAAATTTCATTCGTTGTATTTGAACTTACTGATTCCAAAGAGTCAGTAACTCAATAGTAGCACCTGTCCTACTTATTAATGTCAGAAACATTAACATGATAATGCAATATGTTCTGCTTTGTGCTCCCATATAACTAAAAAAAAAGAGTAGTCTGCGGACTTACAACGCTGGAATCCGGGTTTCGATACCCGTGGTGGGCAAAGCACAGATAGTCCATTGTGTAGCTTTGTGTTTAACTTCAAACAAACAGCATGTTCTCCATTTCTGTGAGGGAAGACATAAATAAAACATTGAAAAGAGTAAGTTATGAATAACTAAACTCAATCTTGTTTAATTTATATTATATAAACTTATAATTTTATAATGTATTTGATGAAAAGAGGATTATCAAAACTGAAGGCAAAGTCATATTATTAAATGCTCACTTCATTTATAGATGGTCTGAGCGTACCTGGACTTCTCATTCCATTATTTATGGTTTTTGTCCCGTCACCGTAGATGCTGTAGGTGTAATTATAAAAGTGACCACCAAATCCTACTATTTGGTGAGACAGAGTAGCCAGAAAATTGATGGTTGGCTGGCTAGATACATTTCCTCTATTCTAACACTTTGAAATTAGTGACAACTATTTGCAGTTAGCCCTTATGTAGCCTTTAAGTAAAAATCTGAAATAAATAATAATAATTTATCGGTTTGATTCGAATTGCCAAAAAAAAAGCTGCAAATTAAATTTCTCCAAAAAAAAATCAATTTTAGAAAATCTTGAAAGTATATGCTTCACTTTAAAATATTATAAAGATATGGCCTACATTTTATTTTATTTTTATCATTATCTATAATCTTTATGCATTATGGTAAATGGCTATTTGATCTTAGAACACAGAACAAACTACTCTGTTGGTTTATTGCTTTTCTGAAATTTGCTGTCAAGAACAATTTTACATATTGCTGTGCCACTAGGGGGGGGGGGGCAGAACATGCTGTATTTCCTATTTATTTCTTCTTCTTTCCACCAATTACAATTGTGAGCCTCTCCTTTATTTCTTAACTGATCAAACACATTCAGACACTGTTTTAATTTTTTTTTACACCTGTTCTAAGTTTGGAGGGTCAAAGGTTGAACATTACCAAAAACGTATCGGAATATCAAAATAAAAATATTTTAAACTAATATTCGAACTAAAATATGTCATTCGAAAATTCTTGGTTTTTAATATGTTATATTTTGAAGAACTTTCCTCGTGTTGTAAACGTCACTTCAATTCTCGAATGCAAAACACAAGCAAATTTCACCAGTTACAACCTCTGAATGTGAACAGATATATTTATGTATATTTATCCATCATCATAATGTTAAACAGTACCTTAATTAACAAAATCAACTCACGTTCACTATTCACTACAACACTAACATTAATAATGTCCTAATCCTTAAAAACTACTATATCCTTAGGTGTATGTGGATTGACTGAAAATTGTCATAGCCTATAAGCAAAGCAGCCATCCGCCAAAAACGATGTTGTGACAAGACAGACCAGGAGAAGACCTTCCAGCCTGGAGGCTGGGTGTAGCAGTGGTATGTGCTTGAATCATGTAAACCATTTGGTTCTGGTTGGTCTGGTTTCCTCCTAGTACTTACACAAGGCCCCCTGTCTTTTGAAATCCATCATTTTTTGGGTGTGTTCAAGCGTATCCAGCATGCGGAAAAGCTGAAACCATATATGACAGAACCTATAGTATCCTGGCTAGCCCAGGAGTTAGAGGTCAAATCTAATGAATCTGAGGCGGAAGAGGCAGTCAATGACAATATCAGCTCAGCTGATGATAAAAGACTGCATCCTAATACTTTTGGCAGTCTTTAATGAGTTAGATGAGGAAGCACATGAAAAGGTGATGAAAAGCTCCAATGATCAGCTTAGCTGCCGACTGCAACCACCTAGAATTGTCAGGTAATCGAAAGATTGTCGACAGAAAGGGGTGTCAAGACCCTTGCTTTCTAAGTCATTAAGTAGTGTTATTCAGCTTAATGTATGTGGTAGATTGTAAGAACAACACTCAATAACACAAACTACGATAGTCGTTTGGTTTAGAAACTAATAACTGAAAGGGAATTACACACTCTTGCTTTTCGAGTGCCCATGTGATTTTCTAAGCGAAGATCACCACCCTTATCAAAGTAGTACCAGTTCTTCTGGGCCTGCTGCAGGGTTGTTCATTTACAGCTAGAATGATTGTTGGTCGTACCACCAATGACTGAAGACTTAGCAACCCTTAGTTTACTTAATCTAGTCTTAAATAATTTAAAAAGATCCATATTTGTAGATTTTAGTTACTTTTATTATATTAAATAAAAAATAAATATAAAAAACAGCAAATAAAATATTTAAATAATCTTTTTTTTTTCCTCTTGGGTATGCGAAGAGAGTTAACCCTAACTTTGTTTAGTACTATTATTAATGCTTCACTGTTGCTTCCCTCTCTGGTTGAGGAGTACTTCTGAATGACAATTGAACTTTAGACTCTAACTGAGTGGTAATGTGTAATGCAGTGTACAGCATTACACTGTACCCCTTACTACTCGTGTAATAGTTAAGACAGTTGATTGATTGGGATGCTAACAACTGAAAGGAGTGTTGTGCCTTCACTCTATTTCCAATGCTCAAGTGGTCTTCTCAGAGAAGATCGCCGCCCTAATAAACTGCATACTCCTCCAGAGAGCAAAGGCTCTTCTGTGATGCTTCCATGTTAAGCCAGAGTTTACATTCCCCATGAGAGTACTGATGTGCAAGTTAGTGGCAAAATAAAAACTTTTATTGTTGGAATGTGAATTTTGATTGAATAGCAGTGCAGGTGAATTCTGCCAGGAAGTGTAATTGCAAGACAGAAATAGCTGTTGGGTCTCACTACTCACAGATGGCAGCATATTGTCATACTTTAACTGTCAAGAGTCAACTTATAGAAGTAGTCAGTTTGGTTGCTATGGTAATGATGCACATGCATGAGGCGATCTATCAGAAGCTATCAATGTACCTGACTATGTGTTTAAATTATATGTAAATTATATGAAAATATGAATTTGCAATATCGTGTGTGTGAGAGTGAGAGAGGTGTGGCAAATGTGTACGTAACTACTAGGCATGCGTATTTCATCACAGTAATCGATACGATACGCATTTAGATATTGATGACGCGATACGATACGTATCTAGATACAAAAGTTTTACCAACGGTTTGTTACAAAGTATGACAGTCTTGTCTGTAATTTTTTTATCTATATTTGTTTGTTTTTGAATTTCGCGCAAAGCTACATGAGGGCTATCTGCGCTAGCCGTCTCTAATTTAGCAGTGAAAGAAAGCAGCTAGTCATCACCACCCACCGCCGACTCTCGGGCTACTCTTTTACCAACGAATAGTGAAACTGACCGTCACGTTATAACGCCCCACGGCTGAAAGGGACAGGGATTCGGACCCGCGGCCCTCAGATTACGAGTTAAGCGCCCTGACCACCTGGCCATGCCGGGCCTTTATCTATATTACTAACATTGTCTTATTTAAGTACGTCACACTTTACAGTGCTTTTTCAAATTCTCAGGTCTGACCAGCTAAATGGCAGCTGGCAAGAGAAGTAAAATAAAAAAGTTAATATCTTTCTATCTATTTTATTATTGTTAATTTGTTATGTTACTTTGCATGTGACGTTTTTTGATAAAAGAAATGAAGACAACATGTAGTACTCAATACTCAGCTTCCTTTATTGAATTATTATTTTTTTTTACCAAAAATACTTTATTAGAAACGCTGATTTTTTCTGATCAAAAGACTTATAATGTTTACTGAAAACTTGCCAAATTTCATGAAGATACACAAATCGTATCATGTCGTATCGGACGATGTATCGATACAATCGTATCACGGCTTCACGATACGATATTCTCGTATCGTATCGCTGTATTACCACACCTTTAGTAACAATACAGTCACTCATGTGTGTTGATCAACAAAAAAGTGAATTAAAACACAGGTAACACGAAGAGAGGGTAACGTATGCTGGAGAATATGAGAGTTTGATAAGGAATTTGAAACAATGTTTGAAACTAACTGTGAATACTGGCTTGATATGCATTAATTGAAGAAACAACGAGACTGCTAATTTTGTTAATGTGAGAAAATGAATTTTTCAATTTTTTTTTGCAATGAAATGTTCCGCAGGTATTGAGTTTCGTCAGAGGAGATAAAAGTAACATAGGCTACTGCTACATTTGGACATAAACATGGTTTGTACTATGTTTTATAAGTGTTGATGGTTTGTGTTTCAGTCATGCAATACTAAAATGCAAGTGGCGACATGAAATCATCTGTGAAAAATAACATTCATAACCGGCAGGCCGCCAAGAAAACATTGCTACACCAGAGTATAACGTCAGTTTATGTGTCTAAGTCCACGACACCGTATCTCTGAATCATAGATAATGAAATCCATGTTCGTGCTGTGCTTATTCCCTTCTCCGACACATATGAAGTTACCCGGCTGTACACCGATGGACTTCTTTGCATTATGGACAACATATAAAGTGTGATTTTACTCTCTTGAACATTAAAGGTTTAGTAGTTCACTGGTTATATTTTCTAATATGACTAATGTTAACTCTTACGCATTCACATTTAATATATTGGTAAATATTACATGAATATGCTATCAGAAGATGAAGATCCTTCTTCTTGTGCCTCACAAGAAACCAAAAGAAAAAGAAAAAAGAAGATCAACAAGTCCACGATTCAACTTCGAGGCATGCATGAGAAAATGTAACCATTGAATGGGGTCCATTAGATGCACTTTTTAGTACAATGTGACAAAATATTCAAATTATTTCTTATGATTATGTGTAACTTAGCGAGGTTTGAAGATTATGTTTGTTTTGAATTTCGCGCAAAGCCATACGAGGGCTATCTGCGCTAGCCGTCCCTAATTTAGCAGTGTAAGGCTAGAGGGA